TATGGAGCCGACTGTTCGGTGTTCGTGGTCTCGGGCCGATTGTCTCAGGGGGGGGGGGAGGGGAGGGAGCGATCCTAAAACGGTGCAAGAGGACCTCTGAATAGTATTTCAAGTCACGGCCCTGCGGGCCGCGATTCTTTACGTGACCTACAGTCAGTCCTTTAGACCCTTATACCCTCCAAACGGGCCTTTGATCGTCGGTTCCGGTGCTGTTCAAAAGTGCTGTTCAAAAGTTGAAGAATGAGTTATAATATTAAGTCCGTTCTGGTGGCTCAGTTGGTTAGAGCACCTGCCCTCCGATGCACCCACCCGTGGCGGGGTGGGTTCGAGTTGCTTTAGGGCGCTCGCTATTTGCCCTTGACAGGTATGGCCTGCGGCCGGTGTCAGCGGTCGCGCTAAAGGTCAGTTGACGTCAGAGGGCAGGACGGACCTTGCCGAGCATTGCGGCACGTTAAGCTTTCGCCACCAAATTCTGCCGTTGACATGAAATTGCGCGATCGGATGGTAGGGGTCAGGGCTCACACAACAAGCACTGCTTAGCGTGATCTCTGATCCCGGAAATCCATACATTCAAAGGGTTCGGATCAAGTCTTTATTTCTTTTTAAAAAATGCTAGCTTGTGATGGAACGTGGCATTCACATCATGGAAGAAAGCATGGCAGCCAAAAAGGTGGCATTCCAGGAACTGATAGATTTCTGGTAAACAGACTTGATGATATTGTATTCATGCATTTTATGTGTGAACGGACACGTGAACAGGGTTGACGGGTTTTGCGTGATTGATCATTTGAACTCTTGACGTGCGTCTCGCATATATATGGATTACATGTTTTTGCACGGGTTTGGTTTCCTTTACCGGTGGACGACTTTAGCTCCCCAGACTTCAGCGACTTGTAATGCAGGCAGTCCCAATTCAGTGGTCAGCCTTCTCTTCCCAGTTTATGGCGTCTGCCCTGGCAGGAAGGCTGGACCAGGCAGCGAATCGAACCCCCGTACGTCTGGTTTCCTATACGCGCGGCTTTAAGTATGTTTCTCTACCTGTTTGGTACAATCCAAAGGTAACCAAAATGTGTTGTGTTTAACAAATGCTCGTGCTCATTGTGACAGGCACCAATCATACCGCTTGAAGTTATTCAGCATACCACTAGCAAAGATGGCATGTTCATACTGGTGAAGTATAGTGGCTTCAGGTAAGAGCATACAGTGTCCCAATCTCATCGAGCTAACAAGTGATCCTTGTTGGTAGGACTTCAGTGAATGACACTCCTGTATTGCGTTTCGTTTGAACAGCCGTGTGCCGATTTCTAAAACATTCAGTGAAAGACTGAATGACTTGAGTGTTTCGTCTATGCGTTTCTTGGCATAGCTCTTCAGAGCATAAATAAACCGATATATACATTGTTATACTTGCCTGAAAATAAACATGGGCGGTGCCCAGATGGGAGGCAAACGGGCTGTTCGATCCTCTTTTCTCCAAAGACCTCGACAAAACCCATGACCAATGTGCGTGCCGTGGAAAACCCTACGACCCATGCGCCCAGCGGCCCAGCGACCCATTACCCAACCAAGCAAAAGATGGTAGTCAATGGACTATTTTTCCAGTCAACGCTCAAAGGACCAATGCTAAATTTTCAGAAACATGTAGGTTTTAGCCCCTGCCCCTATTCATCCCTGGTTCTCTTACCCATGCCTTACAGTGATGCAACCAAAGACACGTGAGCTATCTATACCCATGCGCGTGTCCTGGGAAGGCGTGGCTTTCCGGCTATGCTAGCAATCAGCCCTGACGTCTTCCATGCTGATGTGTTATAATCGTTAGGTGAGGGTATGATTGTATGATAAAAATAGCGTCATGAAGTGTAATAAAACGGGTCTCCAGGGTGCTCCAGGGTCTCCTAAATACTTTCTTTCCTCGCGCATGAGAAAATGATCGTATAGAATAAGAGCCACCGTTTCTTTGCTTGATTTTACAAATACAGAATTCTCTGGCTATTCTCAAGGTCCCATCTGGCCACTCCAGGGCCACTCAGGTTTTTCCGTGTGCCACTCCTGGCCGCTAGTTGTCTTCTGCTTGCCTAATTGGCGTGCATTCTCGCATTTCTCAACTTATTTCAGAGTTCCTACATGGGTTTCGAGAGAAAGAGTGCCTCCAAGCCTAATGCGGTCATATTTTGAGAAAGGTTGGTGCATGGACTAAAAAAACGTTTCTTAAAGCATTGAATGAAGCGTGAGCAGCAGCATAAGCTGAGAGCATCAGATCGCACAGTGCCCTTTGAGAGTGGGTGTAGAAACCAAGGGTGATTGTGCTCTGTTTGAGTTTAAAACTGATGAGTGGTAGGTGCCACCTAACAAAATAATGTGTCATGGCATAGACTGTCTGTCATTGCTGCAAATCCCAACTGCTCTGTGCGGGAAATTTGCTCATTGCTTTGTTTCGTAACGTTTTGCAGCTTGTGTGCGTCATTGTTTTTTGCTCGCTTTTAGTTAAATATATAGTGGTTCTTTTGTACTTTCCAAGACACCAGTCGTCATGAACATTTTTGTTCCGTCCATGAAAGAAACTGTTCATAGAAATCATGATCTTTGGTTTTCCTCGTTCAGTGGTGAAACAGAAAACTACAAGACGAAAACCGGCTTTAGGTAAATTTACTCATAAGATCACAAACTGCTCAAGAAATCGAGATCATGTGAAATGCGGTGCACGGCTGGCGGAAGGGTAATGATTCCATTCCGTATACTTACTCCAATCCAAAAGGCGACAAAAGGCAAAAGTTGCTCTCGCTCCCCTACGTTTTCAAGCTAAGAAAGTTAGACAGGCTAAGAAACTTAGAGCCGGACGAACAATAGTAGATTGGTCTCAATGTGGTCTCGCGATTTTTCAGCCTTTTGTTCCCAAGTCAAAAACTGACCTCACTAGGCCAGGTTGAAGGTCAATTTTGCCGGAAAATTGAAGTGACTGAATCCAGCTATGAGCTAACCACCGAATCCAGCAGCTAACCACCGTAGAACAAGCCCATAATTGCAGGACGGACCACTTGTCGTTAAATCTGCTTAGCATGATGCTGGCATGAGCCAGTCGGAGCAACAAGTCCTTTCAGTTATATGAAGTCCTGCCTTTCTGGCCTGCCTCATCCACAATTGGAAAAGAGGATCCTGGATCCGTGAAAAAAGGATCCGTGAAATTTGGGGGCACACTGTCCTCCTCAGCTCGACTCTAACCTAAAGCAGGATCCAGTGAACAGTTGCCCCACTTCCTTTGTTTTGTTGCAAGGTACTAATAACCACTTCGAAAATCATCAAATACTTCGGATAGAATTTTCAGCAGTGTATGTGGACTTTGCAAAACCTATGCACCACGGCTGCACAACCGCTCTGCATGAATAATTTTACCCTGCGATGGAAGACCCGCCGTTATGTGTTATGGCAAAGTGAGAACTACCACTACAGGTGATCAGGACTGCATGCAGTTATGAACGCCCGTTTCAGGGCACAAATTAGTTACCACGACGTGGGAGACAACTGCACGGCGCAAAATGATCCTCGGCGACCTGTGGTCTTTGACGCATCTACAAACACAACATCTCAAAACAGCAGTGTTGACTGGTATGCCAGATTCAAGCAATTTTAAAATGCTTTCCGAACTGCTGCCGGTCTTTATGCTAATATTATGATCAAAAGCCGACGAATTGGTTTCAAAGCCAAAATTGGCCAATTTCAAAACAGCCCGGTGGCGGGACTGCCTTTTGTTTTCTATAAATGAATCTAACAAGAATATAAAAATGAGGACCCAGCACAGGTCACTGATAGCATAACATGTGTCGAAATCTTCCTCCGCCACTAGCCGGCAATGCGGCTGAGTATAATCTTTCTCATGCTGAAAAATGTTGAGTTTTTAGTAAGCTGTTCAATAACTGAAAATTTGTAGCAGTAAGGAAGCCAATGGTTTCCGATTTTTCGGGGCAAGCTTCCGATCGATTAAAAGTGGATCATAAACAAGAAATACCTGGCAGATTTGTTCCAAAAGACGAATTGGACGGCATGCGAAAGGAAAACAGCTGTTGGAACCCGTCCATGTCTTCCAGCGGCATTAATGTTCTCAGCGTACTGGTTTGGGATGTCTAAACTGACACCTGTCCGTTGCTGTAGGCAGTCATCTGCAACGTTTTCATTCTTTCAAAAGAGGCGCACTAGAATTTTGTGCGCATATGCTAGTTTTCTTTTCGTGGAGAGGTGGCTTCAGACGTCCTAGTTGTCACTTCACGTTTGAGATATGGCAATGGCACGTGTTATCTGCGGTTAAACGCGCCATACCTTTCAATGCTTGCGTCTGTCTTCACCCTGAAAGCACATTTTGTTGACACAAAATAATGCCCTAGGAATGCGGCACGTCTTAGAAATGCTCAGCAGCTACCGTTTGTGCCTTAGCACTTGCTCCTTAGCACATTAGCACTTGATTGAAGCGGCATTGTGGTCTATGCACAGGGCTCATTCATCCGTGGCCTTGCTTACAATGTTGAGGCTGTATGGCCACAGAAATCACGCTGGGTTTTGGTGCTAAATGAATGGAACATATTCTACACTCCTGTGTAACTACACTGAGCTCGCTGTAGCTCTAAGCCACGCGCGCCGAAAACGAATATTCTCAGAATCTGGTGAGAATGTGTGACTGAGCTACAGAGCCAGTGCATCATGACTGATTTATGAATTATTTCGAAATATGTGAGATCCGTTGAAACGTGCCATGCTTCTTAAATAATTGTCTGTGCAAGAAATGTTATAAATCGAGGATATTTGACCGATCGAAAGGCGAATCGGTTTCCACCGGTTTTTGACTGAATTTACCGTTAGTCCGTGACGTAACCAGTGCTGAACTTTCCCTCCCGCTGCCCGGCTTCTGCCCGCCTCCCCTCCCCCTCGGCCGTGCGGATCCCTGTTCCCCACCGCCGGCGGGACGGCGGGCCGGTGCTATAAGGAGGCGCCGGCCCGGGGCGCCGCCAGTCAGCCCAGGGGCGGGAGCGCGTGCGATCCGGCGGTCAGTGGGAGTGACTTGTCAGCCAGCCTCGACAGGTGAGTGTCCGCACTGTCGGCACCCGGTACTCTGGTCTGTCAACACTGGCCGAGAGCTACTCAAACACGACCGCTCGTGCCGCTCCGGCCGTCAGAGGCAAGCAATTCGGCCGCTCTGATCCCGCACTTAGTCAATGATAAACGCCGGATTCTGTCGTCTCAACTGATATCAGAGATGAGCAGAGTGTTTGCCTGGTGGCTCTTAAGGTTGTATTTGCTGGACGTTGCGCTCTGATCTGATCTGGTCTCTGATCTCTTAGGGATGACGAGTTCCGATCGTGGGGAGGGGGGGGGGGGGGGGGGCGGACCGCCAAGGCTCTCGCCCAGGGCCCTGCGTGGGAAACTCGTGTTCCGATACCATTGAATTATAGTGCGAAAAGTGCAGCCACGCGGGTAAAGAAATTTTCAAAGCACAAATGCAACTGTTCAAACATGATTTTTGCTCCAAATATGTTTGCCTTTCTCCAGCCAGTCAATTATTAACTAAACCTCTCGCTTTGTTAGCTCGTTTCTTCCAAGCATGTTGAAAGTTTTGGTTCGTCATAATTCAGCTTTAAAAAATCCCCGCAACAAAACCTGTCTGTTTTTTTAAGCTTCAGGCGAAAGTTGCGCAGCGAATAATAGATTAGTAACCGTTTCTAATACTTTCTCCATGCACCGCAATGCAAGCTTTTGAGTCGGCCGGAATAGAGGGCTGCATGGTCTGAATGTCAACTGCTGATCAACTGCCGTATGGTCCGACGCTGACCCGAGCAGGATGGAAACCGAGCCCCTGCTGCTCCTCGGAGGCACTCTCTCATGCGCCGAATACCCGTGGCTGATATGACACACGAGTACGAGAGCTGATAAAGCTTCAGGTCTAACCGGTCCCGGCAGTGGATGGAAGAGGTCAGGCTGTGGGCCAACGCCGGTCTCGCTCTGTGACAGGTCGCCATCTAGCGCCGGTCGAAAGATTGCGTTACGGCCTATGGAGAGCATCACTGTTGGCCATCTCGGCATGACTCTGTTGTCGCTGTTGGCTCTGCTGCAGCTTTGTGTTTACTGGATACGACGGAGCCAGAGCTCAAGCTATCAACAATTAAACAAAAACAAGTCGAGGTAGTTTACACCGGCAGGAGGTACCCATTTACAATATAGGCGGTTAGCATCAGAACAATAGTATTGAGTTGCATAGTATGACGACAGTCTACCATAGCTTAAACAGTCTAGCACAAGGCTTATTTAGAGGCAATATATGTATTATACCTTGCCTCAGCCTGTCTTCTGATGAGAGCTTAACATAGGTATGACACTGATATGCATTTCACAGCGTTATATTGATTTATTTTATGGAGCACCACCAAGAAAAGTCGAAGCAGGTGCATTCGCTCGACAAACACGCCTTAGTTTTGAGCCTACAATGGTGACTCGTGGAAGTCCAGCGGGCTTTGGTGCCAGTGTTGAGGTGTATCTCAAGGACGCAGCGGCACACGGAAGCAGGCGACCGACGAGAGCGGCTAGACATGGTGGGGATCGTTTGCATGGGGTACGAGCCGTATGCCCGGCCCGGCGCCAACTCTCCCACCTTTGATAGTGGGTCATGACTGCATTAAAAACGCTCAAGGGGTTTCGCGAATATCATATTTTGCCATAGGAATTAAGTGGGGTTTCAATACCAGGCGCGGTGCTTCACGATTAGCAGTCAGCTCCAACCAGCGCGATTTAAGACGGTTCTGGGATGGTTCTCACCCCTTCGATGATCAGATAAGCGCCCTAACCTAAATTCACGGCCTTCGATATCATAAGCGGTCTTTGCAATGGTCAAAAGTTGGCTGTCGCAGAGAGCGGGTTCTGAGACGAGGAGACAACGTCCAGGACAGTGACACTCAGTCGCAGTGTCTGAAACCTGGGTGTTCCTTGATGTTTTTAGCCCCAAGACATTTTTTCTCCACAAATATATACTTGAAAGAGTGCAAAAATTGTTCTCTTTGAGCGACGTCAGATGAAGGCAAGCTGTTACCGAAACTTCGACAGCGCCGCGTGCCACGTTCACATGATTAAACGAGGGATACTGCTTGCGGATTACAGCCACATTTCTCTACCATATCACACACAATCTTCACTTGCAATGCTCTCAGTTGCATTGTTGCAGTGTTGCAGTTGCAGCATCAGTTGCAGTGCCCAGGTCCGTTGCTGCTCACCAGCACACGTTTAACCCACCTATCGTCCAACGACATCGACGCGCTCAGACGCTGGGCCCGAGCCCGCACTCAAAACAGCAACAGCTACTCTTGACAGGCCAGGGATGTCTCGTATACATCACGATTCAACGTTTCTGGATTGCACGTAGAAATCATTGTAACACAATACAAACTGTTACGAAAGTATATGGTGTCACACTAGCATGTACCTCTAAATATAGGATGGATTACTTATATACTGATAAAAATTACTTTTGGTTCTTTTCAAATAACACCCATATTAAAGTTGCATTTGAAGCCTTCAAAAATGAGCATTGTGTAGAAAGTATAGTGGTGACGTCAAACACCATCCCAAACACTCGCTTGGACACGCGAAAAACCACCGCTCCGCGAGTCTCCGGCTCTCGGGAAAGATTTAGCATTGGAGGGAATTCATATTCTCCACCAAGAAATTCGAGCTGAATACGTGATGAAAATGCAGAAAGTGGCATTAAACAAAAGGATGAAATTTTTCCATCGATCTACAGAGCGTCACCACAGAATAATGATCTGACCATAAAGCTGAAGCAGGGTTTCTTGCTCTCCGTTGAGCATCGTTTTTGGTTTTGTATTTTCATGATTACTTTTTTAGATCTACCTTTTATTTGAGGAGGGTTTTACCAATGATTTTTAAAAAAACAAAATCATTAAGGTCTTAGAAAGCAATATCAAAACCGATAAATAACTTCAGTGGCTCTGTCTTTGAAGACTGCTATTTCATGCGTGTCATTTATGTACCTTACCGACCTTGTTTGGAGGAGCCGCGTGCGGAGCCGTGATAGCGCTATTGGTTGGTAGTGTAGATAAAGGCAATATATAAATTCACCTCAATTTCATACACTGAGAAAAGTATGGTATCAGACTCATCGCTGATGAGTAGATGTAATGGTGCTAACTTTGTACAGCTGAATTGCTTTGTGAAGAGGAAATGATTCCTCTGCCCCTGCCGCGTTGGCCTCCGAGCCCTGATCACGCAGCAGCCTGACGTCCCAGGCTGTGTAGTTTTTTACATAACTTAATGGAGTCGGTGGGCAGTGAAATCTTTTATCACAAATGAATGGTGGAAACCATGTTCTCCCTGGTTTTGACCAAGTTTCTTCTCAAAGTTGGGGAGGGGCTAGCATCCCATCCAACTAATCAGGAAACTACACCCCTGGTCCCAAATTAAGTATAACTAGGTCAGAAACCCCTAGGTGGGTATCACATTGCCCCAGAATCTTTCTCTTAGGTGAGAAAGATTGTACTTTGGCTGGAGCATAGCTGTACTAACTACTATGCTCCAGATGCCCCTATTTTTATTGTGGCTTGCATGACATTTCAATCAAAAACTTGTCATAATGTGCTATGGGGAACGGTGCAACAGGCGCACAACATTTAAGCATTGGTTTCTACCAGCCTTAATTGTGACTGACACCTTTACAATATGATCTATGACCTCCATACTTCAAAAAATACAGTAGGTGTGAGCATAGACGTAGGAAGGAAACACTTACCCAGGAAACTAGAAAATTTAAGAAATGCTAGCAACCTATCTCCTATAGTCTTTGGCAATCACTGAGACCAAGTAGAGCATGATTTTTGCTGTCATTTGCTGCCAAAGAATGTCCTTAAGTGCCAGCTGTGAATGCACTGCAAATTTGCCTGGGTTATTTTGTTCTCACTACAAGCCGTAATTTTATCAGTTGTATTCTCTCCCCCAAAAGCCAAAACCAAAGTTCAGACACTACTCAGTCGGGTCTCGGAGACGGACGGGCTCACTCGGTCAGGTCTCGGAGGCGGACAGGGTTGCGGTATGGTCGAGGCAGCGTGTTCTGTTCACAGCCTGTTGATTACAAATTGGCTGGATGCTGAACAGATGGTCATGTGACAAGTATTCTTATTTTATGGCCAGCTGGCTCCGACCACCGATCCCAGAGATTCGCTAATTTTTCCGCCGTCCAAAGTGCCTGGGGCCGTATGATACGCTGGTGATATGTTGATTCTCGGCCTGCACCTAGAACGTCTGGATGCGGGCAGCGTGACATGATCACACCATCACCACCCAAAAACAACTAGAGGCAGCTGAGGCCTTCGAAGCGGCCTTAAAGGGGTAAGCATCCGTGCTCGTTCACAGCTTCGTTATTTAGCCAGCCTGTTGGAGCCGCGTGGCGTCCTGCAGATTATTACCGGGCCGGACGGGCTTGACAGTCCGATACCGTTCACAGTATCGCCTAGCTGTGACGGTTACGCCATAACCCGCGCACTATCGGATCAGCGTGAGCTGGTGATCGCTAACGGCAGTCCTCTGACCGAGAACCTTATCGGCGCGCCGCGGACGGAATGTCACGTGCCCGTCGGCAGGCGCGCCGCCGACGCTCGATATCGGAGGGGGTCGTCTGCGTCTGGTTCGTGCTCGGTGTGGATAGGCGTATCCGCCGCGGCTGCATTAACGTTTAGGGCGCCTAGGCTGCAGCCGTGGCTTGAGCTTCGCGCCCGGTGCCGCGGCCGGGTACTATGATCATGTGTGGTCCCGTGGGACTAGTTTTGAATCAGGTCGAAGAATTCAGGTGGCCACGTTATACTTGCTCAAAGCGGCTGACGGGTCGGGGCCGGCCGGCCTGGGCCGCCAGGCTCAGCTGGTGCAGAGCAGCCGCGGTCAGCAGTCACGGCAGACAAATGCAGGGCACGAGACGCACTCAGCTTGCCTGCTCCACGGTTGCCTGATTTTAGTCGCGCTAGTGAACGGTTAAACTCCCTGCAAGATATTTAAAATTCGCAAAGACAGGTTCCGTCAAACTATTG